TACCAAAATATTCTTTAAAAACAAAACAGAACAGTTGAATCAGATGTTCTCATTTAATAACAGGATTCCAGGAACTGAACCATTATGGAAAATACCATGCACTATATACTTCGGAGACTCATGGGCAGGATTTTGAAATGAGGAGTGCAGATGATGTGGTGCATCATCCCATATAACACAACACATTTATTTTCAGTTAAAGAGCAACTAGAAGCGATGGGCCTAGTACGATATTACTCAGCTTAAGATCAAAACAAAAACAAATATAACTTTATTGAAATCTTCACTAATTCACTAGATTATATATTAATTTAAAAAAATGCAATGAACTAGGCAAAAAATGGTCAAAATAGTCAAAAGAGATTGTTTCATTAGTCCTGTAGTCATTACAGTTAAATGCACATCTTATTATAAATCCATAAAACAATATCTAGTCTTCTTGAGTATCCTGACAGTGGCCCCAATGCTTCACTCAGCCATTTCTACACCTGAGTTAGTATTATTACCCCTGAATTAAGACTTTTAGCTGGAACTAAAAACAGCCTGTAGAGCTGTGAAATAGAAGAGAGACATTACCAGGAATAGCTAATAGGCAGCAAAATTGCAGAAGAAAGGATAGTTTGAATAGTGGAACATTAATACCATTAACAAAGACAGAGGGTTTTAACATCTATGGAAAAAAGAGAAATTAGCAGGAACCAGACAGATCATGAGCTATGAAGTCAATTGATTCCCTCAGTGTTTCCTGAACAGAAGTGGCACTGCCCCATTCCCAGCCAGTTTGGTTTTAAAACTTGGGTACGGCAGGAATCAGAGGCAGGGGGTGCAACTGCATCGATGTACGCCTCCCTCCCCACCCCAATCCACCCCTGGACTCAGCATAAAACCATGAGGGTTAGCAACAATATGAAACATTAGCTTAGCTTCTGACTCAGAACACGTTTGTGCAAACAAGGAGGAGGTAGGAGGTACCTCTGTTAACACAGCTCTGCAGGCAAGGTTGGACCAGAAGCATAGAAGCTGGCTGATGTGAGATACTTGAATGGATGAGCTGAATGTGCACATGGGAATCTGACGCTCAAGATTTGTCTGTTGAATCTGTTGATGGCAACTAATTCCTAGTTTTACTTTATATTCAAATAGATTCAGTGCTGGCCAGCATGGCAGCACTCTTACCCAAATGAGTGGCTTGTGTCATTTTATTTATGGCTGCACTTGGTCAAATACAACAGTTGGGTTATTTGCTTGTCTGCCTATGCTGTCCCTGCAGCATATTAGGATTGGGAGAGGCAAGGGGATGATGACCAGGTTGAGTCTTGGCTCCTGCTCTCTTCTATGTGCCAGCCAGATGTGGTCTTTTGTTAGTAGTATTGAGAGAAGTAAGCAGCTTCTCACTGAGATGAAGGAGGAAGGCAGGATGGCCCTGTCAATCAGGACAGCTACTCCTGCGCTCTTTTTTATGATTGTGCCTCAGGGAACAATTTTAGTCCATGACTTTCCCATTCTCTTTAGTTATTTCTGAATTACCATATTTTCTCACACACAAGATGTACCTTTTCCCAAAAAAAGGGTTCACCAAAACTGGGGTGCATCTATTAAGTGAGAAAGCTGTTTTCTTTGCTGGATAGAAACCTGCTTGGAGACATTGTGCATACCATGCAGCTGCCAAGGCGGCTGATTCTTGTTTGTCTCAGCAAGCTAAAAAGTGGAGTCCTGTGTTACACCCCCTCACAGCTGTAGCTGTTGGCTGAGCACTGTAGCTTGTGCCTGCAGCAGCAAGTGAGCTGCAGGTAGTAAACTTTGATAAAGTAGTGCTACATAAAATACTATTTTGAGTAAAGAAATAACAGTCTTGCTACTGCCCTTTGCAATAGTTTGGGGCAGGAACCAGCACATGTGCCAGAACATGGCACACAAAGGCATTTTACTTGGTACGTGCACCTTGGGGTGGATGGCGGGGAAGGGTCTGGGGCTGTACTGCCACACATGAACGCTGTGTGCCCCCAGAGGCTGGGGGAGGGGCATGGTGAGCTCTCGCAGGTGGCGGGAGTGCTGTTGGCGGCGGGAGCATGGTGGCAGCAAGAGGGGAGCTCCCACAAGCAGCCGCAGCGCTGTCGGCGGCGGGGGGGGGTGAGCACCGACCAGTGGTTGGCGACCATCCACAGACACTGCCGGCAGCATTAGCGGCAGCGAGCAGCAATCGCAGACCGCCCGCACAGGCCGCCAGCAGAGTTGGTGGCGGGGGGGAGGGGGATGTAAAAGGCGACCACCTGCAGGCGCCACCAATTGTGTCAGTGGTGCCTTTTCACAGGGGTGCACCGCCACGCTCAGAGGGTGCACATCCACCCGCGTGCACCCCCTACGCATCACCAATGCTGCCACAACAAGGATCATGCCCCTCATGGTTCCCTTGCCATCTGCCCCTGGCATGCCAACATCTTACAAGTTGAGGTTGCAGGTGTTTTTGGCACTCTGCGCAAAAACATTGCTGACTCCTAGTCAGGGGCCTAACTTTTGTGACATAGAGGAAGTCCTCCTGAAAACACAGACTGTCTAGGAAGTGTGACATCCCAGGAGGCAGCCCCCCAGGAAGCTCTTGCTACCTGACCAGACCATCTCCTGGGGTGCCACACTTCCTAGGCACTCTGTTCCCAGGAGGACTTACCCTATGTCACACAATCAGTCAAGACTTTGCATGGGGGGGATTCTATATTCTGCCTTCCCAAACCAAGAGGCATGTTTTATTTGGGAGGGAGGTGGGTTATGAGGAAATGCAGTAATAATATTTGAGGCTTGGGGATGAGGGCACAATTAGTGCAAGCCATGGAGGCTAGTAGAGTGAAAGAGGGCTAGATGCCGGCTGAAGCAGAGGCTAGGAATGAAAGAAAATTTGTCCAGGACCATACTGGGGAGTGGAATAAGGAAGAGAAGAATAAGCAGAGGGTCCTAACTAACAGGGTTACCAAGGGATGCTGTAAACCAGCTAGAAGGCAGCCCTTAGCCCCCTCTCCAGCCAGCTGAGGAACGGAGCTTCTACTGTGGGTGGCACACCAGCTGGCAGACACAGTCTTGGAGGAGAGGAGGGAAGGAGAGCAGGGAAAGATCTGCAGAGACATTCAAGATCATCCAAAAGTTACCAAGGCCAGGAAGTCATAGGGTTCCTCTGACTAAGGACACATGGACCTTGGAAAAGGGTCAGGCTAATAACCAGCAAAGACACCTGCTTGCCACAATTTCACTGTTTCATCACAACACAAACTGGGAGATGCTTTGATCCGGAGAAGTAAATGAGATGTTTCAATCGGTGCTAAGCAGCTGCTGCCCTTAATCAAATTAAAAATAAACACTTCTACTATTCTGACAGGTCACTTGTGCATTGTGGCCTACAAGAAACAATGTGAAAAACCTACAGAAATATAAAAAGGAATGGAGTTTGGCACAAAACCTTGAAATTCTTCAAAATGAGTCATTCTCAAAGATGGGGAGGGGGAGCTTTCCCCTCATGGGCAGTGTTAGGGGAAAAAACAATATATTGCAACAACGGAAAAAAATCATTGTTGCCAGAACTACACAAAATAGTTTGGGTGAAAATTTTCCAGGTAATTTTCCTTTTACAGAGATATAACTATATCTGTGATTACCTATAGTGCAAGACAGTGAAGACTGAGGGCTTTAAAGGGACCGTTTGATAAAAGTTTTGTGGAGCTTTTCATGACATGAAAGAAATCCCTCCCAAGTATTTTCACATACCCTCATGTGGCCTCATTTAATCTGTGCTGCTCACTTTCTGCATCAATGAAAGGGGGGAGAATTTCCATGGTTGACTCTACAGCCAAAATAGCAGCGGAAGTTATCATCTGTGAACTTCAGTAGCCTGTGCCCCTAGAGATGTAAGCACGTAGGCCACATGCCCTCATGCTTACTGCCAGCTGCTAAGGGTTATTCAGTTCCTTCTCTGCGGGCTGCCCTCATTAAATGATTTTGTTAGGTTGGCAGGCATTGCAAGGAATAAATGGAAGAATCTGCTGCCAAGAGAGGTACCTGACAGCATGGGATAATGATCTTGTTCCTAGCAGTGCCTCTACCCAGGGCTTCAGGGGAAGGCATATAAGATGCTGATACTAACCCTAGACAGTGGGTCAGGACTGTATTTTGGAACTGGGGTGGGAATTCCCGACTTGCTTTTCCAGATGATCTGCTTACATGCTGAAGCACAAAAATCAAAGTATCCTTTTACCATTTAGCTATTATGAAGAATTAAGAGGTGTTAGTACTCATATGGGGTACCTGTAGATGTGCAGGATGCCTGCTCTGATGTGCTGTAATTACAGCATCTTGGAGCAGACTTAATTGAGTCTGCTGGAGCATGCTAATCAGCACGCTTCAGCAGCCTCAGCATCTCATGTATCCCACATCCCCACGCTTCAAAGAGTCAAAGGAGCTTTAGTTAAAGTGCCCCTGCCACCATTTTGTAGCACAGGGAAGCGGCTTGCAAGAGCCGCTATAATTAAAGTGCTACCCCCTTCACCCCCAGAGCACGTGTAAAGATGTCCGTAATTATCCAGACCTTTTTCATTTTCAGTGAAAATAACCTAAGAAAGCAATGAGTTCCATTGTGAGATAAAGTGAAACAGCATTCAGTCTGGTGACTTTATTACATGCATGTGACACCAGCAGATCGATGGAGATGAATTTTTACCACTGAATCACAACTTTTAGGACCTCATTTCCACATGAGAAACTAGATTCATAAGCAAAGCTACCACTGCAGTGTAATATTACTGGTGGGCACACCTTATTAGGAAAAAAAATCATGTTTGTTTGTCTCCTAGTGACTGTTCAGTCAGTTGATGAATTTGCAATACTTTATGGGGTATAACCATAATGGTCCAGGTCCATCTTCCTTCTATCAGCAAAGATAACTCCTCACATCCAAAGCTGTGTGGGAGCAATGTATTACCAACAATAGTAAAAAGTTATAGGAAGAAAATTTGTCTTACCTGTTGATCCCAAAAAGTATCTTTCCAGGACAGGACCATAGCCAATGGGATTTTTGTTGAGGTTGCTGATAATATATGGCTGGGATTTTGCATTCATGTTGTTCAGGGGCCAGCGCTGGGCACTTACACTTGCTCCTCCATACCAGGAGATATTGGTCATTGAGAAGCAATCCTGCAACCAAAAACAGATGACACTTAAAATTTAAGACCGCATACTCTTTGTGCCAGGGATGGGTTGGTAGAATGTCAAGAGCCCTCTTCCACTTATTTATGCGCTTACAAATGGATTGGGTTTAAGTAGCCTGAGCATGGAACCCTGCCAGTGACTCACTGTGTGGCCCTGGCCAAGTCACAATATCACTTGTGTCTCTGCCTCCCCACTGGTAACAGAAAGAACAATCCTTACCTCACAGGGGGATGACTAATGAATGAATGTTTGTATGGAGCTTTGAAGAGGCAGACTGCTATGGGAGTGCAAAGTATTATTATTTCAGTATTGCCAACTCCAAACATTCCGCATTATGAGATGCTTTTCCAAAAGAAGCATGAGCTTTAAAAATATTATGATTAAAATATGAGTATTATATAACAACACTGGATACTTTTGCACTGCCTTCTGGTATGTGAGCCTTTAGATGAGGGGATGGCTACCTTTTTGCTGCCCCAGGGGCTGCTGGTTACAACCCCAGCTCCTGGCACTGGCCGCAGATCTCCATGTTCTCTGGTGAGCAGCAGATACTGCAGAGGGAAGGGGGAACAAGGCAAGACTCTGGGGCTACGGCTGTGGAGGGAGTAAACTGAACCCAGCAGACAGCAGAACATGGGGAATGCATCTTCTGCTGCTCAGGCTGGAGCTTGCTGCCGAGTTCCTGAACTGTTGCAGCCTGGATCCAGTCTGTTCATGGGCTGGGTCCAGCCCACAAGCCATAGATTGCTGACCTCTGCGCTTTAGCCATATTTAGGTTACCCTCCTCTGTGACACCTCAAATCACTTTCTAAAAACAAATAAATGAAAGCTGAAATTCTACATAAATCACTGGCCTCCCAGAAAATACAAAATCCTGCAAGACAATAAAAAAAAAAAAAGTCACAAAACTTTTACTCCATTACTACTTTATGTACCACATGTATAACATGTCCTAAGAGCCTGGGTTTTTAATTGATAAAAAGCAACCAGTTATTATTTTCCTTTCAATCCTCATGGTAGATGAATCATGTCTCCAGGATGCTGCTGGGAATTCACACACATTGGGATGGCACAAGATCAGAGCCAAGCTCTACCTTGTGGACTCAGAAAAAGGATTTTGGTCCAGATCCTTATGCCACAAGTTTGCTGACTTGCACTTCTACAGACATAATAGTTTCATAGTAGGTAGGGTCGGAAGGGACCTGAGCAGATCATCAAGTCTGACCCCCTGCCATGGTAGGAAAGGATGCTGGGGTCAAACGACCCTGGCTAGGTGTTTATCTAGCCTCTTTTTGAAGACCCCCAGGATAGGAGTGAGCACCACTTCCCTTGGAAGTTGGTTCCAGATCCTAGCTGCCCTGACTGTGAAGTAGTGCTTCCTGATGTCCAGCCTGAACCTACCCTCAGTCAACTTATGGCCGTTATTCCTAGTTATTCCTGGTAGTTCTTGGGGGAACAGGGTCTCTCCCATTCCCCGCTGGTCCCCCTTGGTAAGTTCATAGATGGCCACCAGATCCCCTTTCAACCTTCTCTTGTGGAGGCTGAACAGGTTCAGGTCCCATAGCCACTCCTCATAGGGTCTGCCCTGCTGCCCCAGTTTTGTTCAATATCTTCATCAGTGACCTGGAAGATGGCATAGAGTGCACCCTCAGCAAGTTTGCAGATAATACCAAGTGGGGTGGAGTAGTAAATATGCTGGAAGCTAGAGCTAGGATTCAAAGAGACCTTGAGAAAATAGAGGTTTGAAACAGAAGAAATCTCATGAGGTTCAACAAGGACAAATGCAAACTCCTGCACTTAGGACAAAACAATCCCATGCACTGGTACAGGCTGTGAACTGACTGGCTAAGAAGGAGCTCTGCAGAAAAGGACCTGTGGGTTACAGTGGACAATAGGCTTAATATAATAAAGCACTAAAAATAAGCCTGTATTCACCCAGACCAGTTCAACACCAGAGAAGGCCTAGACCAGTGGTGCTGAACTTAACCAGCCCTGCAGACTAGATGAATGGCAGGGGTCTGGTCCGTGGGCCTGATCTGACACAGGGTTAGTCTGGGGGTGTGATCCAACATGCCAGCTCTGGTGGTAGAGCATTGGATCTGGCTGCGGAGTGAGTCTATAAGGTGTCTCAGCCCTGGCTCCCCACATATTTGGAAATTTGACTGCAGGGGAGCTATGGCAGCATTCAAAGTCATAACAATTAATGCTGTCACAGCTCCCCCTCTGCTAAATTTGTAGACCCCTGGGGAGCTCTACACGGGCCAGTTCCCCTCTGCAGGTCAGAGTTTGAGAACCATTGGTCTAGACAGACAGGCAAAGCAATCAGGCTCACAGAAACCAGCGAATTCCATTTAGTGCCTTTGGGTGCTACCATAACATCCACAGTAATGCCTCTTATTATTATTATTACTAAGAAGACTCCATATGAAAATTACAGCTTTTAGATTAAGAAGATATCTCAGCATTTTTAGAGTGGCTTCATTTTGGCTGTAAGAAAGCATTAATTTTGGGCTTCTGCGCAGTCTACAGAGTTTGTTCCAGCCAACATTTTCTACTGTCTGATATAACACATCTGATGAGGTAGGTTGTTGCTGATGAAAGCTCATGCCACTTTGAACCAGCTAGTCTCCAAGCCTGTTTGTAGACATGTTCAGCATTTTCTAAACCACATTAACTGATTCGTATCACACGGTTAAAATCAAATTTAAATTTAAATTAAGAGTTAACAAATGATCATTGCCAGCTCCTTAACAGACCCAATTCACTGCTGTTGGAAATAATTAGGAGGCAATAATAAGCCTGCTTAAATATTGCTACATTGTTGCAGTTATCTAAAGTGCTGTGCAAGACCTGATGTTTAGTCCCGCTGAGGTACTGTTGGCACATTTGGCTTTGTACAGGTTTGATCGCTGATAACTATGTTGTGTTGCAAAAATTCAATTAAGTTTCCCTTGAGGGGATTGGTATCCAGGTTGTAGCTGTATTGGTTTAGAGGAAAAGGCAATCAGGACTCATAGTAGAGATGATATCTTTTATTAGACCACCAAGATTCTTGCAAAAAAAATTATTTAATTGCAAGCTTTCAAGCACAAACACCCTTCATCAGGCATTGGAGAAAAGATTTTTTACAATTTTTTCTCCAGTGCCTGATGAAGGGTGTTTGTGCTTGAAAGCTTGCAATTAAATAATTTTTTTTGCAAGAATCTTGGTGGTCTAATAAAAGATATCTCTACTACCAGTCCTGATTGCCTTGTGGGGATTGACATTTGGTATGCTTATCTGAGTTCCTAAGGATTGCTTTTCCTAAAAGCAACCCCTCATATACCTGCTAATTAATAAAGTTTAACTTGCCTAATTTGGACTGCCCTAATCCTCATTAATTTTAATTCTCATTTAGTTAGTTAAATTAGTTAATTTGGACTGGAGCCAATTTTAATTTAGACTACAGACATACACATGTATATAGTGACAGCTGTAGTCCAGATTAAACCTAGAAAAACCTAACAGCTATAAATGCCCCAAGTTGCCACCCTGCCCTGCCTTCTGCCTGTCTTCAGGATAACATGTCTTACTACCTCTAGCACCTGGGGAGTTTGGGAGAGCAATTTGAGAGCCTTGATTTTCAAAGGGCAGTTACTCAGCATTTTCTGAAAAGAAAAAAAATAGAAGAAAAAAAGAGTTCTCCATAATCACTAGTCACTTTAGAAAATCCTGGTCACAATTTGGTAATCCTGGAAGAAATACTACACAGTTCGAGTTTTTAACAATTGTTTAACATAGGGCATCTACCTTGGTTCGAAATATCTAACCAAGAAAATTAAAATTTAGAAAGTTTTATAAAATGAGAACATTACATTACAGAAAATTAAAACTTACCTTAAACTCATTGGTTTAAATGAAAGGGAGTTAACATGTTTCATAAAACTAGAAAAAAAAAAGGTTACATGAAATCCAGCTTTCACATTCAGTATTTTGAAGTCTTGTTAAATTGTACAAGATTTTGTACCCCTGCAGTACCTCACTAACCTACATCAGCTTTATAATTAGAGCTGCTAGTGGAATGATACTTTGATTTATTTCTTGTTTGTGTTAATGCTACTCTGTGCCATTAGGCACTTAAATACCAGACTGAGCAAAATATAAATGCCTATGTAACAACATTTGAGTCCTCATATGCCCCAGGACTTTGTATTTTCTTGGAAACAAGCAGAATTACAGTTAAAAGATACAAGACTAGTTTCTCCTTTTAACTGGTATACCCTACAAGACTCTGCCCCTGATTCATACCATACCAACTTACCATCCATCCAGTACTTCCTTTTCTCTCCCACCTCCTTTTATCGCTGCTAACTTAAATCAAGTCCAAGCAGAAGCAAGAAGATAACCTTGTAAGTGGCCTTTTTCCCCCCCTCTTTTTAGAGGGGAGATAAACTCCTTATTGGTCATGAGACTAACCACTTGCATGCTTCAGAAACTTGGGGCACTTGCACATATGCAGGAAGCTTGCTCTGACACACTGGAAATCCAGCGCGTCAGAGCAGACTCGATTAATCAAGTCAGAGTGCAAACATAAATTGATGCACTCTGACAGCCTCGTGCATCAGTGGTGCAGTGTACCTCTGTGCTGTGAAAATGGCAGCGGTGTACTTTGAACTAAAATTGGATGTGCTTTAGTTCAAAGCGTACCACCGCCATTTTCTCAGCATGGAGGTGTGCTGCGCTGCTGATACACATGACACATGGATGCTTTTAATTAGCATGGCTCACTAATTAAAAGTGCCTGGCACCACATCAGGGACAAATGAAAAAATGCCCTTGCTCTTGAAGAATTGGACAGTCATTTCCATCTAGTTCCTAGCAACATCTTTGGATGCAGAAGATGCACTCCAATGCCTTCCAAAATGACCAGTGATAATACTGTTCTGCTTCTATTAAATTAACATCCACCCTTGCTGCACATGAGATGGTAGGCACTTTTCCTTTTG